AGGCGCTTTTGTAACAAGAGAAATGAGGATATAATAAAACGTTAAGGATAAGTATACCCATTTATCTTTAATATCCGGATCTTTGGGAAACCTGGAATAATAGCATTGTTCTAAATGAACAGACATCATCATCATCATCATTACAGCCCTTCACAAGTCCACTGCTGAATATAGGCCTCCCCCAAGGTATGCCACAAAGCACGGTTCTGAGTCACCTGCATCCATCGACTTCCTGCTTGTCTTACCAGGTCGTCACTCCATCTAGTGGGGGTCGCCCTACACTTCGCCTACCGGTACTAGGCTGCCACTCGAGAACCCTTCTTCCCCATCGGTTGTCGGTTCTTTGAGCTATATGACCGGCCCATTGCAACTTCAGTTTACCAATCCGTTGGGCTATGTCGCTCTGGTTTCCTAATTTCTAAGTTTATCACGCAGAGAAACCCTGAGCATAGCCCTCTCCATATCTAGCTGAGCGACTTTAAGCGTCCTCATACGGCCAGCAGTGAAGGACCACGTCTCGGTTCCGTAAGTTATCACTGGCAACACGCACTCGTTGTACGACTTAGTTTTCAGGTTTTGAGGTATACCTGACGAAAAGATGTGTCGTAATTTCCCGAACGATGTCCAGCTTAGTTGAATCCGTCGATTGACCTCTCGGTCGAAGTTGATCTTACCTAGTCGGACTATTTGTCCCAGGTAAACGTACTCGTCAACAACTTCGAGCTAAGTGTTCCCAACAACTACCAGCATAGGTGTGACATGGACATCAAATATGATCTTTGTTTTGTCCATGTTCACCTTAAGACCTATCTGTTGGGAGGCACTATTGTGGTCATTGAGCATAGTGCTTAAGTCCCCCAGCGATTCTGCCATAAGGACTATATCGTCGGCAAATCGAAGGTGAGTGATGTACTCATCATTGATGTTAATACCGTATCCTTTCCAGTCCAGTAGCTTGAAAACGTCTTCCAATGTAGCGACGAAGAGTTTCGAGAAAATAACGTCGCCCTGTCTTACACCTCTCTGCAGTTGGATAGGTTTCGTACTCTGGTTCTGTACTCGGGTAGCCATCGTAACCCTACTGTTTAAACACTTCAGCATTTCGATATATCGACAGTCAACTTGGCACCGCTGAAGAGACTGTAGCACCGCCCAAATTTCGACGGAATCAAAGGCTTTCTCATAGTCCACATACGCTAGGCAAAGTGGCAGATTGTACTCTTCGGACTTCTGTACAATTTGCCGAAGGGTGTGTATGTGGTCTATGGATTCGTAATGTCTCTCGAAAACAGCACGTAGACGCGGCTCAGAAGGGATATCGGTCTGTAGTTCTTCAAGAGGGCGTTGTCAACCTTTATTGAAGAACAAGACCACCGCAATTCTGCTCCACGCCTCTGGAGTAGTGCCACCATGGAGGACGGAATTAAAGAGCCTCTGAAGGACTTCAAGTACCGGTTTTCCACCCGCTTTCAGTAGCTTCGCTGTAATTCCATCCTCGCCCGGGGACTTGCCGTTTTTAAGGTGCTGGAGAGCCATTCTAATCTCGCTCAGACCGACGTCCGGGATATCATCGGAATAGTGTCGGATAAGAATTGCTCTTGGATCGTTATTCACAATTGCGTGTAGGCTCCAACGATGATGTTTACAGCTGCCCATAGAACCTCTCAATCTCATTCAGAATCTCAGGTGTCCCGGAAACGATGCTGCCACACTCATTCTTCAGCTTTGACAGTTGGCTCTTACTGGCAGACAAATCTCTGGCAAAGACTTTGGAGCCCTGGTTCCGCTCGATCGCTTCTTCAGTACGAGCAGTATTGAAGTTGCGCAAGTCTCGCCGCATGCATTTGGAGATCTGTCTGTTCAGTTGCCTATATGCTGTCATATCTGTTGACGATTGCAGCCTCATCTCTCGTCTAACAGCCATGAGATTAAGAGTGTGATCGGAGAGTTTTTGTGTTCTTTTGCGGCGGGTCTTGCAGAACTTAGCTCCGACCGCAGTTTCCACGAGCTTGTCATTCATATCGTCCACTGCATTGCAATCTTCTAAGCACTGAAAGCGGTTACGTAACTCGAGCAGAAAAGTTTCGGGATTCTGGATCAGAGCACGAGGGGGACGGAGCGTTGACTTCATCAGACGAGACCTTTCCAACTTAACGTTAAGGTTCAATGTACCTCTAACCATTCGGTGATCACTGCCAGTTTTCACCCTTGCGATCACTGAGACATCACTGAACAGTTGGCGTCTGGTCGTCATAATGAAGTCAATCTCATTTTTTGTCGAACGGTCGGGGATCGACCAGGTCCACTTCCTGTGGGGCCGCTTCTGAAAGAAAGAGTTCATCATAAAGAGTCCCTCTTTTTCCATAAAGTCGGCCAGCTGCTGGTCCCTACGGTTCCGTTGCTCTACTCCAAATTTCTCTAAGTTCAGCTCACCGCTTTCTCTCGTGCTTAGTTTTGCGTTAAAGTCTCCCATCAACACCGTATAGTGGGTTTTGGAGGAATGCATGGCTCTGGAAATATCCTCATACATTTCCTCCACCTCCTCATCGGGATGTGCCGAGGTTAGTGCGTAAACCTGTTCACTCACGAATACCGTTTGATTCGAGTATCAGGTACGCGACCCTCGTCGACACACTCTCAATCTTTACAACGTTGTTGACGAGAGACTTGTGGACGACAAATCCGACACCTCCTTGGGACAGATGTGATAGAAAAAGTAGCCGGACTCGAGGATTACCGTGTCCTCCCACTCTCTTCGACCTCGGATAATCCAATAATATGCCAGTTCAACTCGCAAAATGAACAGACGTATTAAATAAAATGAATACAACATTATGCAAACAGCAAACAAATAAATATATGTATGAGTGACATATTAATCATTTTTTATAAGTTATAAAGATCTGTACCTGACTTTCCGTTGTTTGATACGTTGTTTGATATTTTACAGTTACCCGGCTTTTTACAGATCGAATTTGGTCTACAACACGTCCACCCTTACAATATAATTACTTATCTATCCTTGCAATGTTTTAAAATTGCATCAAAGTTTATCAAGTAATTCAAAAGTACTAACAAACAGATAATGGCTGATAAAAGATTAACGGTATAAAATATTTGGTAAGAAAAAATATTGTTTATAAATATGTATGTTAAAAATATTGTTATTAATATTGAAGAAAAAAATAGATGGGAATGAAATGTAGTTTTCGTAAATATATATTTTACGAAAACTCACATTTCATTCCCATTTCTGTAAAACTAGGTAAGTACATAATAAATTATCGATACAAAGTCTCCACTGTCTCGCGCTCGACTCCTGCGGCCGTGTTCTTGCATTGCTCATACTATAAATCCATCGCTGCTTTAAGCCGTCGTACACGTAGACATGAACTAGCTTAAGAATCAATGGACATTGAAATGTGAAAACAATTACATTTTGGGAGACAATCGCAGTACTGGAAGTGAGTAAATAACACTGGTGACCGAAACAAATGCTCCTTGCCCGCTTGTGGCCTACGAGTCACATGTGCGGCGACAAGGTCACGCGCTTTTACGACTCCTATTATTTTTTAGATTTCTGTGGATTGTTCGGGTATAATGTCGGAAATACCTTCGGTGTAACTAATTAAAGCTGTTTTTGAGATGATTTCAGTTTCATGTAACAAACGAGATCTTAACCTGTTACAAAAATATTCTGTTGCGAGAAACGTCCATTCTGCCTCAACAGTAGTAGGACTAATATTTATCAAATACTTGTAGCAAAGAGAAAGATATTTCCCTTCGTTTTCTCGATTTTTTCGTAAACTCTTACCATTTATATTGTCATTTGAAGGTTACTTAGGACGTCTTTAAATTTATAAATTTTAAAGTCGAGTCTCGAAATTCCGGTAAATTATTATTTAAATCTCGGTCTCAGTTTTGACGTCAAAAGCTCCGATACACCCGAGATTTCGCGACTCAACGATTTAATAAAATTTATTATTTATTTGAAATTTGCATGTCTGCTTGTAGACTCTATACTCAATGCTAGGCTAATATAATTGTAAACGAAAACTCTATTGGCTTAATGAAATTCAGGTTTGCATCGGAAACTATGGGTTTGTCTTTTAATATTTATTTATGGTGTAATAACCATTATAAACATTATCTTTTAATGTTTATAATGGTTATTATTAAAAATTGTCAACAATTTCGAAGGAGACTCAAATCAATTGTAGAATTAATCCTGGAATCTGTAAAAAGATATAGAAAATTACAGACCTCAAAGCGTCGGTCTCTTTGTTCTCACAGATAATTGGCCTAATTTCAGCAAGTATCTTAAAAATGAAGTAAATGCATTTTGTAAATAGTTTGTAAAGTTTATTTACAAATTGACAGGTCCCTCAACCTACCCAAAAAAGATATAAATTAAAAAATATATATTAGTATATTTTTCGCAAGAAGAAAAATGTAAATGTGATTGTTTTTTTATTTCAGGAACTAAAAAAGTAGCATCAAATGGGAAAATGAGATTCTAAATGGTAATTATGATTGAAATAAGTGATATTTCTACAGAAAACCATGAACCGACCACATTTTCTTTTGATTTGGAACTAAATTATACAAATTTTACCTCTAATACAAAATGGATAGACCATAGTACAATTTGTTCATCAGAAGCATCTTCAGAAGATTTTTTATCATCTACAGTGTTTCAAGTTTGCGTTTATTTCATGTACACTATAGTATTTGTTGTCGCTCTGTTAGGAAATGGACTAGTATGTTTTGTGGTACAAAATTCACCTCGAATGAAAACAGTGACTAATTATTTCATAATGAACTTGGCAGTCGGAGACATTTTAATGACACTATTTTGCGTTCCGTTTTCATTTGTTTCAATGCTAATACTTCGTTATTGGCCATTTGGGACTATAATGTGTAAAGTGGTGAATTACTCACAAGCAGTTTCGGTTTTCGTTAGTGCGTACACACATTTGGCAATATCAATAGACAGATACATGGTCATAATAAGACCACTGCGTCCTCGGCTTGGAAAATCGAGTGCTAAATTGGTCGTTGCTGTCGTATGGTGTGGTGCTCTAGCTACAGCAGGTCCTATACCAGTCGTGTCAGAAATTCAAAGACCAACAGACTGGCATCAAGTATGTAAAGCGTAAGTTATTTTTTAAATTATAGTATTGTTTTGTATAAATGTTAATGTGCTATATAAATGAAATAATAAAAATAAGAAACATTAGAAAGATTCTTGAATGACGGTCAAGCACAGTCTGAGAGGACCCACAGTGGTGACATCATTGAGCCACCTTGATGGATAGAGATGTCTCAAGATCAAGACCCAGATTTTTTGTAGTCTATGCGACAGGCCCTATGTTTGGTAGTGGACTAGCGATATCGTGTGGTGATTATGATTATAATAAAATACTGACAATACTATATTGACCATTCGGTTTTTCTTTCTACTCCCTGCTATTGTAATATGTTTTGGTGTGTTTGTGTGTGATACTAACAGTGTAGGATAATAATAATATAATATAATAATAATAATAAGATGATTAAGAGAATAATGATAGCAAAGTCGATAACTATACCGATTTTGTAACTTTGTGCGTCAATAATCAGGTTACGCAACAGAAAAGCGTTTAATTGCAGTACAGTGTGTCATGGATTTAACTTATGTATTGCAAGTTTATGAGTTTAAAACGCCTCCATACACAAACATTTCTACCTTGGACTTTCTTAAAATAGCTATATAGCAATATGATAGAAGATCAAAAAGTACGGTAAGGGATTAAAAATATGTATACGCTGCTATAGACTGATGATGATGACAGTGAAAATGAAAGGACCTTAATGATATTTGTAAGTGTATGGTCGTAGGAATTTTGGTCGTAGGAATTTTAATTAAAAATATATCTAATTTACTGTTAGTATTATCGAGAGTCATTACAAATCGTCTCGCACGCAGACTCGACGACTTCCAGCCTCCCGAACAAGCCGGTTTCCAAAAAGGCTTTAGTACCATAGACCACATACATACCTTTCGGCAAATTGTACAGAAGACCGAAGAGTACAATCTACCACTTTGCCTGACATATGTGGCCTATGAGAAAGCCTTTGATTCCGTCGAAATTTGGGCGGTGCTACAGTCCCTTCAGCAGTGCTAAGTTGACTGTCGGTATATCGAAGTGCTGAAGTATTTGTACAATAGGACTACGATGGCTATCAGAGTACAGAACCAGAGTACTAAACCTATCCGACTGCAGAGAGGTGTAAGACAGGGTGACGTTACTTCCCAGAAACTCTTCACCGCTGCATTGGAAGATGTTTTCAAGCTACTGGACTGGAAAGGATACGGTATTAACATCAATGGCGAGTACATCACTCACCTTCGATTTGCCGACGATATAGTCCTTATGGCAGAATCGCTGGAGGACTTAAGCACTATGCTCAATGACCTCAATAGTGCCTCCCAACGGATAGGTCTTAAGATGAACATGGACAAAACAAAGATTATATTTAATGTCCATGTCACACCTATTCCGGTAGTTGTTGGGAGCACTTAGCTCGAAGGTGTTGACGAGTACGTTTACCTGGGACAAATAGTCCGACTAGGTAAGTCCAACTTTGACCGAGAGGTCAATCGACGGATTCAACTCAGCTGCGCATCGTTCGGGAAATTACGACACATCTTCTCGTCAGGTATACCTCAAAACCTGAAAACTAAGTTGTACAACCAGTGCGTGTTGCCAGTGATGACTTACGGAACCGAGACGTGGTCCTTCACTGCTGGCCGTATGAGGACGCTTAAAGTCGCTCAGCTATGGAGAGGGCTATGCTCACGGTTTCTCTGCGTGATAAACTTAGAAATTAGGATATCCTCAGTAAAACCAGAGTGACCGACATATCCCAACGGATTAGTAAGCTGAAGTGGTAATGGACCGGTCATATAGCTCAAAGAACCAACAACCGATGGGGAAGAAGGGTTCTCGAGTGGCAGCCTCGTACCGGTAGGTGAAGTGTGGGGCGACACCCCACTAGATGGAGAGACGACCTGGTAAGGCATGCAGGAAGTCGATGGATGCAGGTGACTCAGGACCGTGCTTTGTGACATACCTTGGGGGAGGCCTATGTTCAGCAGTGGACTTGTGAAGGGTGATAATGATTATCGCTATGCCTAACTGAAATCATTTCGAATATAAATTCCTTACACGGTCATAAACAAAACATTAATAAAGAAAGATAAATTTTATACACACTTTGCAGGGATATATGCCTCGAGCATTGGAGCAGTCCAAATCAAAGTCGTCAGTATACTTGTGCATTGATGATTTTGCAGTTCTTGTTACCATTAACAGCACTGGTATACACTTACGCTCGTATAGCTCACGTAGTGTGGGGTGGAAGACCTCCGGGTGAAGCACTTTCTGAACGGGATTCACGTATGCAGCACTCCAAAAGAAAGGTTTGCTTTATTAAAGCTACTTTTTATCTGTTATATATTTTATATTGTTTTCATACTTTTGCTTTTGGCTTAAAACCTGAGTGTTTAAAACTAATCTAACAAAAAACATGGTTATATTACAGATGATAAAAATGATGGTGACAGTTGTTTCCGTTTTCACAATTTGTTGGCTACCTCTGAATATTTTCATTGTAAGTATAATGAAAGAATTAATAAAATTATTATATAACTCATATCATAAATAGTAATTGCTTTATATTGTATAAAATTATCACGTTTCAACATATTTAATAAACGTAAAAAAACATTTTTACAAAACCATGAAGATTGCGGTAATTATTTGAAACGTAATATTTGTGTTTATGATGCCGTGTGATGGCAGCCTGAGGGAATCTCATTTCATCCCGTAAGTGACGTAAAAGGTGACTGAGTACGACAGGCAAATCTTATAGCTTCCAATAGATGGCGGTATAACCATATCATTTACGCCAGGCATGAAGTAAAAACACTGACGACAGATAGAGCGTCTTGGGTGCAAATCAGTACCGTACGTACAATGAGCGACAGACCGCCTGTCAAGCGTGAAGATCCTTCTTACAACAGGTTGGGTCCATGTCAAGATATGAATTTTTAGGAGGCCGATGAAGAAAACAATTATCTTATGCATATTATTTAGGTAAGTTTCTATAATATGTGTGTGATTATTTACAGGGTTGGGTTTTTTTGCTTAAGAGTCCATATAGGTAGGTAGAATACTTCTCTTGTTTATTTTCTGTCGTAGTACATTCACTATCGTTTTTTAATATAATGCGTATGCGATGCTTTTAAAATTTCTTTGCTTAAAAATGGTTGCAACTGTCTTACAGTCGTCATTACTTCTTTCTTCCATTAGAACTTATATTTGTTTTCTTGTAAAATTATTATTTACTTCCTATAGTTTTAACCCCAAATTTTTAAGATAGTAACTAGTCTTGTCATTAATAGCGTTACAGCTTAAAAGGTTTTTCTTTTCTTATTTCTCCTTGATTATTAAATAACATTGTGGAATGGAGCGTAAACAGGAGTGCAATGATTGCTTTACACAAAGTGGATAAGTAGTCGTCAGATATTTTAAGGACGCTTCAAGAGCTTTCGATCCCGTGCTGTTAGAATGAGACTGGTTGAGAACGCTGTCATAGCCGAATTCGATCAAACCCTATGAGTAAACAAAAATATTATAGCATAAAGACTCCCGCGACTCCCGCGACTATCGTGATTTTTTTAATATAACACCTTATTAAACAAGACCTGAAGCTAAGTGGTTATTATCAATTTATTGGTAAGTATCACGCTAAATCAGTCGAGACTAGATCGATCAAACACATCACTGTTGGAGGCATGTTGGTGGAAGACACATAAAAATACTTTGTATAAATGAAAAAAATATGATAAAAGACCAAAAAAAAAAACGACAAAGCAAAATGACGCAGTGTATGTATACTCACAGCTCTTAAGTATCCTCGCAAATTATTAGATATTTTCAACATGGTCATCATCCTGCTTTAATGGCGATGTATGTGGAAAGGGAAGTGTTTTACCAAGGGTTCATAAAGCTACATTTTCTTAAAAAAGTAGTGACGACAGACATAGACAAAGCAAAAGCTTATTAAAAGATATTCATGGGTCGTGTACTGAAACACTTTTTATAAATGTACTGTGAACTTTCAAGACAGGCTTTTACAAGACAGTGATGCTGCTACAAATTGTGGTCAGTTCTAAACGGCGTTGCTTTCCATTGTTACTATGACATTGAGCCTTTTTGACAAATCTTCAGAGCTAGTATTGATTAAATGACTTATGGATACTGTCTATAGATTCCTGACCTGAATAACACTATTTTAATTAACTGGCTAGAAATCGAATACAAGTGCATATAATAAATTTTATTAATATTTACTGTTTTTTTAAAGAATACATAAATGTATTTTAATGTTTAACACAACTCAAGGCCATAGTCGGCGGTTTTTCAACCCGAATATTTAAACCGTTACCATTAGCTATACAGCTCTGCTGAAAGGAGCAACGAATATTCGTGGACATAAATTTAGAGTGTTGTTTCTTGTTACAAAAATTCATATAATTTAGAGAATATAATTAGTGGAAGCGTTGAAGCGATGGTAGTGCAAACGATGAATTTCTGATTACGATTTAACCTCAATTAATTTGAATAAAAATACTTTTACGGATTTTATCGCGTTTAATTTTAATTATTTTCAATTCCCGACATTTTGGGTGCTTTCCAGCACCCATGGTCAAGGGGGTCCCGATGTCATTGTTAGTCCTGGAGTAACTTCAGCTTTTTTATGAGTTCTGGAAAGCACCCGAAACGTCGAAAATTAAAAAAATTAAAATTAAACGCGATAAAATCCGTGTAAGTTATTTTAATCAATGTGTAGTGTTCGCGTAAATATAAGAACTCAATTAATTTGTTCGTTTTGGCACCTTCACTATACAATCATTTTACACTGCTGGGTAAGCTGACACTAAAAGTCTTCTAAAAATTTTGCAATATAATGTTAAAACATGTCGTGAAGAAATTCGTGAGCATATATAGGTTACTATCACCAAAATTACATTAACAACTAGATGGCGCTAGTGCCAGGTACCAGACATCAACTTAGGCGCGCAACAGTACCTAACAGGCTGTGAAAAAATTTCATCTTAGTCTTCAGGGACGACATCGCATCTGTAGCCTTATTTGTTTTTGTGGATGCCAAGTCGGTAAATGTGCACCGTATGCGAAATATATAATACCAATTGATTTTGATATGCGAATAGTACTGTTAATAGTGTCTTCTATTGTAGGTATTATGGACAATCCACGAAAAAGACGAAGAGTGGGCAACTTGGCCGGGAATGCCTTATGTTTGGTTTGCAAGTCATTGGCTGGCGATGTCCCATTGCTGTTATAATCCCATTATTTATTGTTATATGAATGCCAAGTATAAGCGAGGTTATAAACAGGTAAAAGTGTTTATCTTTATAAACGTTTTTATTACTTATCCGTTTTCATATAATATTAAAAAATTATGTACTAATAATTATTCATCATTTATAGGCGTTAAGCTGTCTACTATGTAGAATACGAGAGCCTCCTACTCGCTTTGACCATCGTTATAGCGTCTGTGAAGGCATACCTTTATCAGGTAATGTACTTTGATTGTGTGGTGCGCGGTACGTCTCATCGTAAGAATCGCCTCTTATGGGAGAGGTTAGAATCATTATACCGTCATCATGCTATAGATGATGGTAAAATAATTCCAGTTACGTCACAGAGAAAATTATCCAGAACCGCGAAACGGTAGATCTTGGATTGTGGACCATAAGTGGACTGCGGACTTATTTGAAAATAGAATAATAGTAGTTAATAATAATAGTTATGAATAATAATAATAGTTTTAACACATAATCAGTAATATGTATCGTCGATATGTAAATTACCTATTTTACTATATTCTCACCCGATGGTAAAAAGCTGCGGAAAATTGTTAAGATCGTAAATGCCATGATGTACTTTTTTAAAGAAATATGGTGAAGAATGAGGACACGGTCCACTTGATGGTAAGTGGAATGCTATGGGCCATAGTCATGTGATGCACTAACACTAAATTAGTGACATAGTGAATGGCAAGAACCAGAGACGCTTTTTACTGGTAGCGAGGCATTCCATTAGTCCAATTGAACTAATTATAATGATATAATATTAATATTTAGCTTTTGATTTCTTACATTCACGCAATCATTATTCATTGAATAAAACTACCTTTACGGATTTTTGTCATATCATATAAAATTAATGATTAAAAGATGAAAGAATACCGGGTTAACATTAATGTTGAAACATCAAACATCACGGTCTGCACCGTGTCCATGGATGCCGTAAGCTACTCGAAACGTCTGGAGTTCAAAACAAGTAACATTAAACGCAGTAACATTCGTAAAAGTAGTTCTAATCAAATTCATGTTTCATTTATCTGTCCTTTGAATCCAGAGCAGAGACACAGCCAGCGTTAACCATCTGAACCGTGGTAGCTCAGATGGTTAACGCTCGCTGTAAATATAACAGAACGCGAGTAACCCGGGTTCGATCCCCGCCGGCACCAATGAAATTGTTAATTGCAATTTTCAGTGCTGTTTTACCACGTGCTCGGCGGTGAAGGAAAACATCGTGAGGAAATCTGCATGTCTGAGGAATGAGAGAAAAAAATATTTCGAAGACATGTGAAGTTCGCCAACACGCATTGGGGCAGCGCGGCGGACACTTCCTTGCCCTAAAACCCTCTCAGAAATGAGGGGGAGGCCTGTGCCCAGCTGTGGGACTATATATATATATATATATATATATATATATATATATATATATATATATATAGGCTGTAACTGTACCGTACTGTACTGTACTGTCCTTTGAATCCACTGGCGAATATAGCGTTTTCCAAAAATGTTATGTAGTCTGCCTTTAATAACACTTAGCACGATGAATATATTATACGCAGATACCATCGCACTGGTTATATCCCTTTTCTTTATCAGTACATAGTAGTCCAGTGCAGGATATTAAACCTTCCATATTTAGGAGAATATGGTAATATTATTTTCCATTATCACTGAACGATTTAGGGTGGACATATTCGTCATCAGCAAGTCGCCAGAACCTTGTTTGTTAGTTACTATGGTACATTGCGTTTAGTTGTAGGTGGCACTTAGCATACGCATTAGTTCTTTCATTCCGTATTATTATTAATAACTACTTTCATTTTTCAGAATTAGCAGGCTTTAATGGAACAATGCGTCGAGGTACTTCAAGCAGCTGCATGAGTCGCTTACATAGGGCACCCACCACCACCAGTACATCGTGTGCCTCCACGCGACGAGGACAAGCCAATGTAGGCAGTGCGAATAATAATCTGTTTCTACGTACTTCGAATGGTTCCAAGCATTTAATAGAATGTTCTACTGGAACACTCGGCGTAACCCCGCCGGTGCGTGCCGTCTCCGTGCGAACTCATTTCAATTAGTTGTGTTGATATTGTATGTGCTTTTATAAAACACGGGACTTTCAAATATGTATGTAATTTTTAAGTAACTTATATTAAGTGTTTTAAATCGTGTTTACGTGAATAAATTTTCGGGTAACGAATCATAATATCTTGTATAATTTTTTCACCCCATCATAGTTTCGTGATGTTTACATCTACTTAAACGAAATCAGGTGTGTGATGGCGGCGTACGACAATCCACTACCACATACCCCATGGTCTCGTTAGATGAGACAGGGGGAATTAAACAGAAGGTGGGTAACTTCATGCAAAAAAAACTGAGGTTGAAAATCCACCTGCCAAGCATGGCAGCTATGTCCAATATTCCCACTGTGATGCAAACTGTGGTGGAGGCCTATGTTCAGCAGTGTTCATAGACTGTAATGAATGAATTAAAATATACGAGAAGGTTATAAATGCGTCTATCGGAAGCAACGCAGAAATATATGCAGGCATTGCAGCGGGTTATGAAAATGTATTACGCCGTATTGTCGCTTGGGCTTCATAAGATGCGAGTATGGGATCAGAATAAATAATCAAACTTTAATGACGTATTAGAGTATTTCACGGGTGGTATGTCGTAAGAGGTTGATATCGGAAATGGCAGAAAAATATTATGGCCACCAATGGATGGTGGCCAAACCAATCATCTCCTTGACGACACGTCAAATACCTTCAATTGACTCAGGGGTCTCACGCACCGCTGAATGCTCTTCATTCATTCTATGACCCAATTGCTATGTCGTTCGCAGTCAGGTGCTTTGAACTTGAAAACTGTGACACGTTAAAAGTACGTGGGGACAATATAATATTACAGACGGAATGTAGAGGTGAAGAAATAAAAAAATAAACATGCTGCAGCTACGTTATGGTTGTAGCACGAATGGATCGGTTGGACCGGGGAAGGACCACGCCACCACAGAATACTAGCGTAAAATAGCAGCTGTGTTTTGTATGGCGAGTGTAAAGAACCAGAGACCCAGTCAAAAGGATACGAGTCTCCCCTTTTTACTGGATCTTAGTCCCCACGGGTGCCAACGTATGTGAAATTTGATTATTAATTGAGGATGGATGTAGATGTCTAGGGTCACAACATCCACTTACCATCAGGTAGGCTGTCACGCTTATTCTATAAAAAAAATATTACAACATTCAAAATTAATTAGCGTTATGACAATAAGTGCAAACTTAATCAGTTTAATTTTTGGCATAGTGTAGTGTGAGTGAAATATAATAAACAATAATTAGCACATGGTTTCTTTTACAATTCAATTTTCGAAGGTTTAATTTTTATAGGAAAGTTGACAAACAAGCTTATGGTTCAACTGATGGTAAGCGATAATAATTATAATAAATTATGCGTTAATAAGCGAGCATCTCTACTCATGAACATCCACAACATCATAAGAATTTTAGGTGTATTGCCGGCCTATTAGTACCCAAATTTCATGCCAATTTCATAACAAAGCCACGCTGCAGCTATATTATGGTTGTAGTACGAATGGGTTGGCTCGATTGGAGTAAGACCATGCTTTCATGGAATATCAGCATAAAATAGTAGCTTAATGCTGCTGTTTCGTATTGTGTGTGTAGAGAACCGGAGACTCTTTTTGCTGGAAACAAAATATTCCATTTTAGTCTTCAGGGTTCAAAGTCACAACGCGTCTGCATTTCGATTTTTAATTGAGGATAAATGTAGATGTCTATGGGCCACATCATCCACTTAGCATCAGATGGAAAAAGGAATGCATAAGACAAATTGGTTCGGAAAAACCCCTAAGGACAGTAAATTCCTTTAAAACGCACGGCATTGGAAATGTTTATGTCAACTATCAAGATAAGCATCGTGGTGAATATCTTAAAAAATAACACTGTTAACAATATGAGTTTAAGTGTGAAGTTGCCGTTTTGATGAAGTGGTCAATTTTAAATAAAATTAAACTTGATGATTCAAGATTCGTAATTAAAATTTTTTACACAAAAGCTATAACATTCTAAATTTCAAAAATGTTTGGCATTGCATTGTTTGACTTTCAATTGTATCAACTTTCTAAATAACAATAAATTTATTCAGTAATGGCAAGTGTCATAGAGTAGCACGGGATGTACTGGAATGAAGGAGTCCATAGCTAATAATTTTCCGATACCGAACTGTCTGTAATTTTTTCGGGGGAATAATCCCTTTATAAGGAGTATAAATGCTTATGGGACACTAATAACACCAATTACTTACATAAATAAAGGTGTGAGAAACGATGCTTGGCGATACATTAGTCGTGAGATGGATTACCCAGTTGAGGCAAAAATAAATTACTTATATTTACGCGAACACTACACATTGAAATAATACTAGTTTCTTGCGGAATTTAACGCGTATAGTAGTAGTTCTTATATTTAACTTTTTAAATACCCGACATTTCGAACACTTTACAGCACTCATGGTGACTTTTGTTCCGTATACATCTGTATAGATCGGAACAAAAGTTAAATTTTAATCTATGGTAACCGCGGTTAACTATGACATCTGGACGTTGAACATCTCAGTCCCGCCCGTGACCACGAGTGCTGTAAAGCGTTCGAAACGTCGGGTATTTAAAAAGTTAAATATACGCGATAAATTTCGTAAAAACTAGTATTTTTTCAATAAAATAAATATTTGTCGGGAGGCTAACGGTTTTTGCGTGATTTTTGTCGTATACTTTTTAAAAGAATAAAGGTTGTTGATGTTACGGTAATTTGCCGCCGTTGCTGCACGTGTGACTCCGTCCGAGAGTTCAACGAGAGCAATCACAAATATAATATAATATGCAGTTGTCTGTACATTTTATATAAAAATATAAAATGTACAACTGCAATTTAAATTTTTATTCGAATATGTGTAGAAGATAACAACAGTCCTTACATCGTTTGAAGAAATTGAGTAGTGGAGAACTAACCCACAACACTTTAGATTTTGCTAACCGCAGCAACTAAGTGAGGTATTATACTAATTACTAGTAAAATAATGTTGAAATAGTAACTGATGGTTGAATTGATGACGTCTATGCATAGCGTAGAGGGGTGGGCGGAATCACTCGGCGAGAAGAAAAATGAAACGGAATGATTGGTATCTGTATCTCGCCAACACAATACAAGGAGGACAATTTTCGGTAAGGAAAAATGGTTATTTACAAATAAAAATTATACATTCATAGACTTAGCATTGTCCAGATCCCTAGAGTTTTTTCACAAAGACATAAATAATCTTGAAGAAATGAAGGAGATAACTAGGGTAAACACTTTGATGAATTAAATATAATAAATACGAAAAAAGTGTTCGAAGGTTTCATTTTGAAACTTTTCATACTTTAATACCTAATAACTGTATATGAAATACGCTATAAATATTTAATGCAAAACGTTAAATATACTGAATACCCAAGCATATTCTTAGCGTATGGAATTTGGTGTAAATCGACATGTAACGTAAAGTGTGAATTGATTGTGTAAATATATCGCTCATGCTGCTACGCTTGTAAACTTTTAATATAAGTAAACAAAAGCTATGTTTGTACATTATTTTGGTTTATAAATCTGGTACCTAACGAGGCAAGAATTGGTATGCAAGCATTTAACGTTGAATACATTTTTACTGTTACCTACAAACTTACCCATGTTTAATGTAAAGTTTGTAGCGCAGGTTATAACAATAACGTTTTCGTATCTACATCGACTCAAATTTTATGTACCTAAATATGGATATACGAACAGCACACCTGCCATTCATAAATGGAACTATGTTTTGTCATAAAGTCAATTGATGAACATACGTTGTCGATACGATAGAAAACTCACGCTCAGAGGGCAGATAGGACGGAGGAAATGTTATTGATACCCATATCTCGGACACATGCAGTGCATATGGGTACAATAATAACAAAATATGATTATCAAATATACAAACCAACTATTTCTACTTTTGTCAAAATGCTGCTCATCCTCCTCCAAAACCTCATCGCACCGATTCGTGGTTGCTCAGGAACGAAACGCTCGTCGTAAATTTCACAGTATGCGAGCGCCTGCGTTCCATTCACTGCTGGCCGTATTAGGACGCTCAAAGTCGCTCAGCGACCTATGGAGAGGGCTATGCTCGGAGTTTCTCTACGTGATAAACGTAGAAATGAGGATATACATATAAGGAGGACATAGCCCAACGGATTAGTAAGCTGAAGTGGCAATGGGCCGGCCATATAGCTCGAAGAACCGACAACCGTTGGGGAAAAAAAGGTTCTCGAGTGGCAGCCTCGTACCGGTAGGCGAAGTGTAGGGCGACCCCCCACTAGATGGAGTGACGACCTGGTAAGACATGCAGGAAGTCGATGGATGCAAGTGGCTCAGGACCGTGCTTTGCAGCATACCTTGGGGGAGGCCTATGTTCAGCAGTGTACTTGTGAAGGACTGGAATGATGATGATGATGATGATAGTGAAGGACTTCGGGAGTCCCCCCTCCCGTGGCTATGGGTGGGACTCCCAAAGTCCCCCCCTTGACCATGGGTGCTGTAATTTCATAGAGTCCGTAAAATTAGTTCTATTCCATGTGTAGTATTCGCGTAAATATTTAAAAATCATTTTTACATATGTTTTTAATCATACGTTACAGATACTTTGTAGCACCCATGGTCACGGGGAGAATGAGATGTTCGACGTTTCAATGTAGTACGTATTACTAGGATTCGTGTAAGTGTAAGGAATCTTTTAATTAAAAATATATTTCGAAGAGGTGTGAATACTTTAACACGTATTACGGCAGCGCAGTGGACCCTTCTTTGCTACAAAACCCTCTCACAAATGGGGGGAGGCCTATGCCTGGCAGTGGCACGAACATAGACCGTAGCTTTACTTTACTCTGACCACTCGAGTACGGCTTCTCACTCGAGTCTTTAAAAATAAAGATTGAAATGGACTTATGTGTTTATTTATTTTATAATCCAATTGAAAA